AAACACATGGTAATTCCTCTTTTGTTAATTTTTGATGTTCTGTTAATTTAAAATGCAACACAGCCAAGCGTATGGAAAGGTTTTTCTAATTTTTCTGCATTATTTTCTAATTTAACCCCATGCATGTTTGAGGTAGTAAGAAAGAGAGCTTTTTAATGACGTAGGTATCACATGACCTATGTTGCCATATAAAAAAATTCAAGATAGCGGTCGCAAAAACCATGTGTCAAAAAAAATTTACTCAGAATATTTTAAATAATCAAACGGAAGCGCTTTTATTTTTTTATTTTATTGCCTTTATTTTATAGTGGGCGCGCGCGGAGTGTTAGCCCAATATATATGGCCCACTCAACCCACTATACAATCACAAACAGCCATGCCTTACCTAAGATTTGAACCCAGGACCCGTGGTCAAAGTTAGAGCTAGAGTTTTGGTTCCATCTTTAATAGCGACCCCCTATTTGGCGCCACATCGTGATTCCAAAAGGTGGTAAGTGGCTTAAGAATCCGTCATGGTGAAATAGTGTAATTTTTTGAAATTATGTAATGCGAAATTTGTGATAAAACGCTATTGATGGATATGATATGTGCACAGCTGTTTTTAAAAAGAAACGTTATTTTGTTTGGGAGGCCACAACTAGGACAAATGTTAAGGATTATCGAAGATAATGCTACTTTAAAAGTCTCTGTTTTGTGTGACGATACTGTGCCAGAAAATTGGCAGTTACACAATTGAAAAAGGATTATCATATTGTTATCTAAGCTTCGTTTTCGTTCTCTCTTTACCTAAGCTTTATTTAACCCGATCTTGTACTGTGAAGGAAAAATCTTTATCTGAGGTTCATTTAAAAACCTCGTCTTTCTCCAATTTGAAAATTCGTTGTGTTTTGTGTGGAAAGGTTGTGCCAGAAGATTGGGCAGCTGGGCAGTTAAAAAAGACCTCCAACAAACGAACTTGTTGAAGCATTGGAAAAGACTGTGTGTACTCCATCCTGATCTAATCTTCATATAAACCCGTCATATTTCGACAAACGATGACTCGGTTTCATTTAAATCGGTTGGATTTTATGTACAAAGATTGTGCCAGAAAATTGGGCAGCTTCGTTTAACTCCATTGTGTTTTATATTGAAAAAGTGAGACAGAAGGTTGAGCAATTAAACGATTGAAAAGGTTTCCAAGAAACAAGCTTGTTGTGTTCCGTGTCTTAGGCATTGCGTAAGAAAATTAATCAGTTAAACTGGAAACTGGAAAAGGCTCCCAACCAACGAAATTGTGTAGCTTTAATCCGATCTTGTTTTGTGAAGAAAGATTGAAAAATGCTCTCCAAACAGTCCAAACAAACCAACTTATGTCTACTCCCTCTTTATCTGAATTTGTAATTTGAAAATTTGTTGTTTGGTGTGGAGAGATTGTGCCAGAAGATTGGGCAAAAGTGAAAAAAGGTCTGGACAAATGAAATTGTGTGCACTTAGGGATTCTTAAGGACGTAAAATATGGCTCAAGTCAACCTGGTAAGACCATGGACTGCACTTTTAATTATATTATGTTGAAGTTGGTGATGAAAACGCCAGTCCGCCATTAACTTATACGCTGGAAAAGAACGATTATTTTCAGTTTCACCCAAAAACTGTAAAAGCGCGTCTGGTCAGAAAATTCTCGCTAATACAGAGCATGAGAATTACCAAAAAACTTCCGAAAAAAGAAAAACAGCTTCAAATAGCAGACGTGTTTCCGTAACGGAAAAATCGCTCCTTTTCAAAGTGCCGTAACTTCTCACCAGTTGGGTCAAATTTCAAATTTATTAATTTTATATTTGAATTTGCGATTTGTGGCAGCATTCTCGCTTTCATTTGAACGCGGCGGCGGCGCCATTTTGTAAAGCGACAATCGACTTCTTCCAAAAATAACGCACGGATTTTAAATTGGCGGAAATGAGGTAAATGTAGAAAAAGCGAAGGCGTTTACGTCTGCAGATTTTGGGCCTAATCGCGTCGCTTGTTTGTAATGAAAATTGTAACATGTTATGATATGAGTATATACTGACTAACTGTTTTTTAACTACAATACAGTGTAAATGAAAGGCAAAAAAGAAACGCTAATCGAAATTTTGCTTACCCACGGTGACTTCTAGAAACTTTTAGGTTTGCTGAGCAACGATGATGATGGAAGAAAATGTTGAATAAGAAATATTTGCGTAAAAATGGGGTACTCGATTAGGGCAGAAAGCGGCGCGCTACACGTCGATTTAAATTTCGTTGAAAGGTGAATTTTGAGAAAAGATAATAAAGCAGGTACCGACGGCTTTTTACTGAATAATGGGCCACTTCAGTTGTAAAGGATGACGTATGTCGAATATAGGTTTAAGGCAAGGACCACTTAAGTCATCAAAAACTTTAAGAAAACCATCAGAAATGTCATTCGCACAGATATTCATCTTCCCAGCGTATAAAAGCTTTTTGATTAGGTAATACACATTCTAAGGGCGGCATAGAAAAATAATTTCTGACATTTAGCGACGGCCGTCGCTCGCATTACTCTAGAATCTATCTACCATGCATTAATTTTTAGTAGATTCTAAGCAAGATAAACTAACACAGCAAAGAATTACAAATATGTCTGAAAGGCCGAAAACCATTACTCAATATCAGAATATTTTTAAGTCTAGAATAGTTTTAATTCCCCGGGGCATAACTATAACTGAAAATCATTAATCATACATGGGCCACAATATAAGATTTTTGACATTCATCGGTGAGCTAAAATGACAAACAAAATTCATTAATAATTTGGGTTAAACCTATTGTTACCCTAATGATCCTAAGAACTGCAAAAGTATTGAAATTTTCAACATCTGTATACAGAAAATAACATTGAAAATCAACGGCTACCTTAAAATTTAATCCGTGTAACACTGAAATTCCTCGGTAATTATACATCCGACTAAATTAACTTATCGGAATATGTCCATTCACCGACAACTTCCACAAAAAACATTCTGCACTGACACATCACGACGATACATTCAAACAGCACATGTAGTATTCGATTGCTGTGTCGGTTGCAACTACGAGTCTCGAAAACAGGCAAAGCCAATCAGGACCGAGCCCAACGAAGCAAACTCCGGCTAATATGGCTGCCACGTAGCATGCTTCAGACAATGGGGGCCAGAGAAAGGGAACTAAGTTTAGGGAGGTAAGAGGCAGTACCACCGGAGGTGGGGTGTTCCCCAATTTCCTTTAACCCCAAACTTTGATAACGTCGTGTTATAAGTTTCAGTTGTCGATTCCCAATTGAAACGTGCAATTTGTTTTACAACCGATGGTCACTCTCGCTTAAAATTAATGTCAATTTTTTGCTTCTCAACGGGTTGACTTTAACAAAGGTATATTATATACGAGGCGTAAAATTTTAGTTTGACTTAAAGCTATTAAAGTCATCAGCACAATTGCTTCGAAATTTGAACAAAAGATGGGCCTCGACATAATCCACTTAAAAAGGTAGCGATAATATTTTTCAGATATCCACTTAATGACAGCTTTTAAATCCTAATGTTTATTAGTTCAACTCTTAACTATACTTTGATAATCCTTCAGAAACTTACTAAATCTAGCATGACAGCTGCATTTACCACACTCTTTTTTGTTCATTATATAAACAACATTTTAATCTTAGAGCGCTTGATGTGATCTAATCCTCATTTCACTTCCACCATTGTGGTGGCGATTTTACTGAATTTTAAATTCAAGTTGACACTTACCCTATCCGTAATACCTTCGGTTTGATGTCTGTTTAAAACTGTAAAACTTTCAACTCATTAAATGGATCAATGCACACACACACTGGGGTCACAGTTTTCAATTGTATACATTCTTAACATCGAGCCTTCGTTCGCGGGCATTTATTGTTACCTGGACATTGACTCATTAAGCACTGTACTACTCGGGCTTGTTACTATGTCCATTGACAAATTTAGAGTGATCAGATTGCGATAGTGAGTCGTTGAACTAATAAGTACCCTTAATTCACAGTGGCATTAAAAAATCAGTTATCAGAAACTAAAATTGAAAGATAAAAGTGTAGATTAAAAACTAACAAGGTTACGGTGATTCCTCGAGAAAACCTAGAGTCATTTTAGTCTGCGATGTGTCTAGGTATGTCCCCAATGCTGACCAGTGAACGATTGTGTTCACATTGTTTATTATTGTATCACCTGAGAAATGTAATGTCATGCACTGGGAAGCTAAAATCTAACGTCATGACAACTTGCAACCAGCTTCCGGGGTATCTAACAGTAGTAGGAACACCATTACTTTGCAAAACATTTATAAACCAAAACGCGTGAAATTAGTTTAATTCGTAATAAAAATTAGCCTTATAAAAAATATTCGACGATTTTAGATAATATTTCGAAGCAGGTGCCCTAAAAAGAGAAACTTAGTCTACGGCTTGGTTTTATTCAAAGCGGTATAGAGCATGACTATACATTTTTGCACTGCATTGAGAATGTTTCCAAGAAGACCCACCCTGATTATTGGAGAACTCCCGAGCCCCTATACATTCGAAAGCTTAATATTTCGGTACACCGTATTTAACGTTCGGAGAATCATGTTAAAAGCCCGCGAACGATTTCGCCCCTTATAACAACATTTTATAAGATTTGAACCTTAAATTTCACTACCATTCGTACTAACGGGGTTGATACGAAAGAAATTTTATCACAATGGGTTTTGCCGACCTCATCGAAAGCTGAGCCTAACTGTCAGAGATCATCATTACTCACAAAAGTAAGCTAACGCTCGAGTATTCCAGACATGGAGTACGGAATCTAACTGCCATTGTTAAGTTATTAATCTGATGATCGTTGCCTAGCATTAATCTTAACTACGTACTCCAAGTATTTTTATATTATACGAAATATCAATTAATTCCTTTTTAAATAAAATTTATCTCGAGTGATTTTTTGAAAGGTGCAAATTCCAAAGAGGAAGCATCGACTGACCTGTTTCAGTATCTATCGTGTAATTAAGATCACTCCAGCCCTCCGGTTCTGCATTCGCATCGATCTCCTCCTAGAATAAGACATGTCAGAAATTGCGAGGGCGACGAAATTGAACGACCTACCTTAATCGCCTCGCGATTTACAGCTTTCAGTGTCTTGAGCTTTTCGATTTCGTCGTTGTCAACGGTCGACGTTGCCGGGCCGGTCGAATTCTGCTGGAGACCGGAATCCGGTTTGATGCCGATGGCTGATTCGGTCGCTTGCAATGAAAACCCTAGGTCGACATCCTGCTTCCACAGCACTTCTATGAGATCCATATCCTGCAAAGAAAAAACCAATTTATGTTTTCGTTCTACATCAAATCTGAGTACGGTGTTACACATGGAAGTAAGATCTTAAAAAGTACTGATAAGATATATATTAATCAAAGTAAATAGTGAGAACTGTGATTAAATAATAGCGCTTAGATAGTTTTTGGGCACACTGTTTACCTTTTTGTGCTTTCGCTCTTCTCTAACTGCCAAACCAGGAGTGTTGGGAGATTAGATAATACCCCCATAAAATTATTCGGAAAGTTATCTGTTATTATGCGATTGGCGATAGGGTGCCGTAGTAAAAAAGTTGAACCAAAAAAGTTTCAAAAACCAACCATAACCATTTTATTTCTCCTTGGCTTGGGCTATATCACGCCTACGCACATTGGCCCTTGGTTCTATAGTGAGACCCCAGTTTCTTACATGTACAGAGGTAGTTTGTTAAAAAAATCTGAGGATCCTCTCCAGTTGCAACTCCTTGGGCTACTGTAACAGTCTCACCCAGGACTTGTAATCTCTGTCCGGAGACAGTCTCACACAATAACCATACTGCTGCAGTCTCTCTTACGTTTCAATTTCATAAATCTTAAAAGGCTAACGTCCTCGTTCGTTTACTGCTTCATAAAGTTAACGAAAACCTCGAGCAGCAGTAAATTCTACATTTTGGTTCAATACAATTTGAGTCCTACTTAGAACTTAAGCTTAAATTATTTCAAGTTGAATGTCAGCACTTTAGCGAATACATATTTTGGTTATTGTTTGACACCCAAAAAACTCATTTATTTATTAATTTTATTGAGAAAGTAGAAAACGTAGGTATCTACTCAAAAATGTTATCTGGCCATCAATCAAAATCGCTACCCAATCCCTTCTGCAGTGGCTATCGAAATATAGGGCTAATGTGATCACCATCGACCAATAAAAAACGCTGCCCGGAATATGTGTAAGTTTATCGTCTCTGGCTGTAACGGAGGTAAAAAATTCGGCGATAGAAGGAATCCAAGATGTTCCAAAATTTGCCTATAGAAAAATGAAACTAACGAACCTAGATTTTTGAATATACCCTTTCCTGTAAAAATGCTTCTTACCCAAAGATGGCAAGAGATCACGCTGTAAACATGACACTAACCAATTGAAATTATAAAACTACAAATTTCCGACACACGTCGACATATGGCACGTGTGGCGCAGGGAAGTGGAAGACCGGCTGCATTTTCTACCAAAATTTCGGTCGAAAAAAGGAGACCGTCTGCCCCTTGACCAAGTCCGCAACAAAAAGTGATCCTCGCCTGTGGATTTCCACAAGTACAAAGATCAACGCATATGAAAAGTTGAATTTGGGAGTTGATTAAGCGATTCTTGTTTGAATTTTTCTAGATCGAGCTAGGTTTTGAAAAATCTATGAAAATAATTGAGATTTTACCGAAAACCTGAAAATGCCAAATTTCCTTTTCATTTTCCGTAGCTTGAGCAATCGGAGGTGGGCGGTTTCCGTTAGTACATGTTATGGCGTCCGTTATCAGAATTTCCATAGCACGCTAGATGTAGAAGCTACCAGGCTACTACGTTCTTACTTCTTATAGACGCCATATTGAATTTTTACGGAATGACATGGAGGACAAAAAATTCATTTTAATGCATCGCCATCATACCTAGCCATGTTGATTCAGCAAGATCTAGTTACCCGTGGAGGTTTTGTGGAGAAGTGAATGTAAAACGTTTGATTTTGAAACTTTTCTTGTAGATTTATGTAAAAGTATAGAGTGCGACACGTCATTATTTTTCTTTTTTGTCCTTTATCTCATTTCTTCGTAAAAATCTAATATGGCACCCATAAGAAATAAGAAAGTAGTAAGTAGCCTGTAGGTTCTACATCTAGCTTGCTATGGAAATTCTGATAACGGATCCAGTGCAAACGAAATTTGACATTTTCAGTTTTTCGGTGATATCTCAGTTATTTTTAAAAGATTTTCCAAAAATTTCAAAAGAGTTTTTTTAGTCACAAAAAAGGACAACTTTGCCCCCATTTAACCTGCACTGTAATCTGTATCTGTCACCGTTGCGGAGATCGCAATGCAATGATACAAATTTGAACCACCCTGTACAGATAACGATTCCACGGATTTTGTTGAAATTTTGCATATATATATATTAGGCACACGGGGTGTCCCATTTATCTTGAGGCAGTCGATCATTGCGGAAGCTTGCGGGGATACCAAAAAATGATTTATGGAGGAGCGCATTTAATGATGCTATGCACATTTTGACATAACTGTCCCTTAAAAGTCAAGTGTATTGCAACTGCTGTCGAAAAACAAGGAAAATCAAGTCAAAACAATGGCAATGGAGTGCGAAGAGCTTAGAAGAGGATGTGATTTCTTTTGAATTCATAGCCACTAATGAATGTACAACCAATTCGTTTTAAGATAGTTCACCTGGGAGAAGACCAAAGGCTGTATTCTAGTTGTTCTAGTTCTCAATTGATCGATTAACTGCACCGTTATCACAAAGAGACCGCGCAAATGTTTTTTTTCAATTTCAATTGTTCACTACTTCCATTCAAAATCTGGTTTGTGGTTTCTCTTAAAATGTACCACTAAAATTTGAAAACGCGCTCGTCAAGAAACTATAAAATTGATTCTGAATATTATTTAATGCAAGCATGTGCCTGATTTCAGGCTCCTCTCCCCCTGAAATAAAAAAGCTTCAAGTAGATTTTTACTTCCATTTCCTACATTAACTTTTACAGTAATTTATTTAAAACTCGGTGCGCAGTGTTATGGCTTGGGAACCGTACCTAAGTACATTGCCGGTACTGAGGAAATTTTTTGAAAAATACAATTATTATGTTCTTCTGCAATTTTCTTTAATTTAATTTTGAGTTTTGTTTAAGTCGTTTTTCGTGTTTGAAAACTAGGAACAGGATGAATTTGCGATTTTCTTATTCCAAAACTTTTGGCATCGACAGCGTTCACATTCAAATGGTGCACTGTAACTCCTGAATTAGGGCTTCAAAAAATGGATACATATTTTCAAAACTGCTTTCCGAAAATCCGTGTTTTATTATTTCAGGCCGCGCTTCTTTCTCAATCCGTTAAAAAATTTTAAAAAAAACGGGACAGAATTTTGTTTCGTGAAATAAACAAGTTACTTAATGGCAAAAAATAACACAGTTACATATATCAGCTTGCTCAACGTGGAAGCGAAATCGAGCTTGGAGGTAAAATATAAAGCGACTTCAGAAAGGAAGTAGGCCAGCGCCGAGTATTATTAAGGAACGTAAATTCTTGTGTATCTAAAAAATACGTTGAGAAACTAAAGTGTAAAATGCAGTACAGCAAGATGGCGTATTCTATAGATCGAGCGGGAAATCAAAGGTGTGGTAGTTAGGTTGCCAAGAGCCATTGTCTTTTTCGCTCCTCCCATTCTAATTAACGATATAAACAACGGTAGATTTTTTTACTTAATTTCCAAACACAAAATAATTTATTACTGTATTAGGGCGGTTACTCTGTGATATTTAAAAGTTAATATAATGTGTTACAAATTGCTTTCTAGTCCTAGTCCTCTATCAACACTCCCTTAATATTTCGTATAAAAGAATATTAGTTACGAGATTCCCATTAATAATCGTTAGTTTTAATTAAATTTCGAATATCTTCAAACTGCGGACGGTGGCGATTTCTGACTTCAATGCAGTTACTAAAAAATAAAAGTTACGATTTAAATTTTAATATTTTTAGGACAAGTTTCTACTTATACACGGTGTCCATTTTTCGATGGGATCTCGCTTATTTTAAGTGATAGAAAGTTGGTTAAATGGGCGCAAAGTTGCAAATTTTAGTGCTGAATCTGAAAAGAAATTTAAAATATCTTCAATAGTTTTGAAAATATCGCAAAAAACGAAAATGTCTTCAATTTCATGATAAAACTAATAATCGTAGGTACTAAACATTTCTAACCAAAACATTATTCAGACACTTTTTCTGGACAATTCGAATATATATGGCATCCCGTTTCTAATAACTTTCAAGATGACGAAGAAACACGTGGCAACTTTATTCTTTCTTATGGACGCCAATTTGAATTTTGAAATTTAAGAGATTACGTCTGTTTTTTCTTTAGAACGATGTATCATACATGGTGGTTCAGTATCACATTAACAATTTTTCATTTTTTCACATGGTTGCTGCAACATATTTGCAGCGTTATCCAGAGCAGCATCTTCAACTGTACAGTTTCAGATAAAAATTGAATGTATTGACTTACTACCCATAGCGCTTATGGTACATCTTGATTACCTAAAAATGCTGGAACAAGACCTATCTTTTTGTTTAATTCGCTCTTTAATCGCAACCAAAGACAAATTAATCTACAATCGCAACGGCTGTAGGAAGATTCGCCTCCAAGAAAACTCCCCCACAGAAGATTCGCCCCCGAAAATTTCGCGCATGCAGAATTCGCCTCGGCTGGAATACTCCTTCGCCAAGGAAAATTCACGTTTAGTAAAGTTCAGTCCAAAATGGTTGTGCTCATTCAAAGTTTTCTCATAATGATACAGGTACACATCATTAATGAGTAAAGATGGGTAGTAGGTTGACAGGCACCAGAATTTTCCCATCAATTTACGGGGGTACAACTTTATGTTTGTTGCGCTGTATTATGCATCAATGAGACTTTCGATTGTAGGAAGATTGGTCCCTAATAATTACCTCTGCTAAACTCGCCCCCAAGACAACACTCCCCCGGAAAAAATGTTACACCTCCAGAATATTCGCCCCGGCGATAAATTAGCCCTCGAAAGAATTATTTTAGGTGATTCTGAAAAAAATGCGCTAATAAAAAATGGATTTTCATCCTTACTTTTGGCCGAAAGTATGGGTTTGTAATTCTGTTCCACAAACACCCTATGGGGCTGCAGAGCCCCAAATCCCGAAGGTATCAAACTTGAAAATTTCGCAATTGAAAACTCCTTTCTTATATTGGCACCGGACGAATGCACTAAT